AAATATCAGAGAAAGAGAGGGGATGGGTGCGTGAAGAGAAGGAAAATGAAGGGAAAATGGGGGAAAATATTGTCAAAGTGCCCATACTGGTTTACCCCTCCTCAACCTACACATGGAGATGTATGTATTCTGTTCAGACTCATGTTCATTCCCACCTTAAATTCAACGACAGCAACCTTGTTGCAATGTCCTCTTACAATGGCATGAATTCTGCAGGAGGTAAATAAGTTGCATGAGACTAAGACCCTGATAAATCCAGAATTTTTGAACTCCAATGACATTCAACAAATGCAGCTTCTCTGCTGTAAATGAGCTGGTGCAGCTGCTTCTCCATTAACATTTCAGTCATTGCCACATTGCCACAGCACTGCCTTTTAGCTGGATTAATACTGCACCAAGTCTTGATATTGATATTACAGAGGGTGAGAGACAGAAAAGCCATTTGGGCCTGGGACCCTCAGGCGCAGCTCTTCAGTGCCAGTGCGGAGCCATGAAGGGAGATCTTCCCTTGCTCCTGGACAAACGGGCAGGAACTCGGCATGGTTTGAGTCAACTGCAGCTCTGAGGCTGTCGGTATTAAAATCAGATTAGGATGATATTTTATTGGATTGTTGTGGGGGGTTTTTGGCGGGGGTTGGTTTTTTTTTTTTGCAGAAATATTTTCCATTTCTTGACTGACTCTGCTTTTTTGTTGAGCATTCCTGTGTGCTGAATAGATTGTGCACAAATACACAGTGAGCCCCAAAGAACTTATCTTCCAAAAGAGAGATGCCACCATGCACTGGGGAATGAAGGTTTTAATTATTTTTTCTCCATTATTCCTGCACCCTTCTGTGGGGTCTCTGTCCAGCACTGGCGACGGCAGGGCTGGTGAGCATGCAGTGCTGGCAGCTGTGAATGGTAAAGATTTAGGTCCTTTTTTTTATAAAAAGGTTAACATGAGAAAATAATGCAAGCTTTCTGAGCATGTGTGCAGTGGAGGGAGAACAGGGCTGATGATGCCCTCTAGCGTGAGAACCCACCATAGCAGTGTCCACAAGGTGAGTGGGCCAGAGTGCTGCAGGCTCACATATCTGAGCTCCCAAGCCCCATGCAAAGGCTGGAGTAGCAGCATGCAGTGCTGGACAGTGCTTGGGGACAGAGGTTCTAGCGAGGAACAAGCACTGTCCTTGTGCTCTGACAGCAAGGCTGCAGCCATGCTGAGCCCTCCAGTCATTATTAAACCACTGACAAATGGAATGATGCCAGTGACCTCATGCCACTCAAGAGCTGCAAATTGATACTGGAGATGGCAAAAGCTGAATAGCTCTCAGAGTGGGGCACAAATGATGTGCCAGAGCACTGCAGTCTGGCCAGTCTAGCTTTAAATGTCTCTGGTCCCAAGCCTGTGTCCCTCAGCACTAGGGGCCATTTTGTGTTCTCCATCTCTTGTCCCACCTGACCTGTAGGGCAGGCTCACCCCAGCCTGCTCCTGAGGCATCTTGCTGGACTCACTAATACACCACTCCTTGATTGTCACTGTCTCTGACCAGTGTTAATGCAATACAGATTCTCTATTTGCCAGCTCTTCTGGCAACAAGTCCAAGAGAGGTTAGCCAGAGCTGGGGATATTACCCACCACCAGAGGTGAATGTAAAGTGGTGTGCCCTAGTATGCCGCTCCAATAAGAGCCAGCCAGGACATTCAGCTGCAGGAGGCATGGTATGCTCTCAGCTCCAACGGCTCTTCTGCAGGCTGCCATGTTAAACAGCAGGCAGATGAAAGGGGCCGACTGGGAGTGCATTCCCTCTGACCAGGGCTGCTTCAGCACTGAAGCCCTCCTTAGGTGCCTTTAGGATTGGCAAGGGAAGCTGCCCCCCATTCCAACTAATGCTTCTTGTTGCCTGCTCTTCCTATACCATCACGGTGAGGGAGCAAGAGAAAATCAACCAGCATCTCTCTCCCTCCTTGCTGGTGCAGGGGAGGGTGCAGAGGCATGAGTGACCAATACTATGTCTGATAATACTGACAGTCCTGGGAAGAGGAATAAGAAGCAATGAACGGTGTTGGCAGGAATCGGGGGGCGGGGGGGACAGAGGTCAGCCCCTTCTGCCCTCCATAAAGGGTATCCTTGCCTCCCTGCCCCCTCCCCCCATCTCAGCCCCCTGACATGAGCCCTTCCTTGCAGCCCCCTGCCTTGAGCCCTTCCTTGCATGCCCCACCCCCTCAACACCTGTCCTGAGCACATCCACCCCAACCCCCTGCACTCTACCCCACACTTGAATTTCTTACAGATATTGTATGTTGCACATCCCAATCTCCTGCCCGGGGCAGGGGGTGAGGGGGGAAATACAACAGTACCTGTAAGAGATTTCAGTCACTCTCACCCCTGCCCACTCCTATGTTATCTCTGAAGCACTTAGCTGCAAACAGTGTGGAGCAGTTCACAGGGTTCCCACCAGACACTAGAGAGTCTCTCAAATCCTTCTGATGAAATCGAGGACAATATGAAATCCAGCTGGAGATGACAGGCCCTGCAGTTCATAGGATAATCTTGAACTGTGAGGTATGGGCTGCTCATGCCTTTCGTATGAAACCACTTTACCAGGCCATCTGGCACACCACCTTACATTCACCTCAGCTGGAGTACTGTGTCCAGTTCTGGGCGCCACATTTCAAGAAAGATGTGGAGAAATTGGAAAGGGTACAGAGAAGAGCGACAAGAATGATTAAAGGTTTAGAGAACATGACCTATGAAGCCAGGCTTCATGAACTGGGCTTGTTTAGTTTGGAAAAAAGAAGATTAAGGGGGGACATGATAGCGGTTTTCAAATATCTAAAAGGGTGTCACAAGGAGGAAGGCGAAAATTTGTTCCTCTTGGTTTCTGAGGACAGGACACGGAGTAATGGGCTTAAAGTGCAGCAAGGGAGGTTTAGATTGGACATTAGGAAAAAATTCCTAACTGTCAAGGTGGTCAAATATTGGAATAAATTGCCAAGGGAGGTGGTGGAATCTCCCTCTCTGGAGATATTTAAGAACAGGTTAGATAGACATCTGTCAGGGATGGTGTAGACGGAGCTTGGTCCTGCCTTGAGGGCAGGGGGCTGGACTCGATGACCTCTTGAGGTCCCTTCCAGTCCTATGATTCTATGATCTGACATGGTTTGTCTCTTTTTTCATGACAGTGCCTAGTATAACACATGCTGCCTGTGCTGGCAGCTTCTGTGGAAGAAAATCCCTGGCCTTAACATGCTTGATAACACGAACCCTTCCTAGCTTTTGGGCATTTGCATCAGTATGCTACAAGGGCAGGTGCTAGACAGGCTCTGGATCCATTAACTATCATATGAAGCACCAGTGTCCATGCTACTTATTCCACAGGAGAGAAGTCCTACTCCAAACAGAAAAGCCTTTCATGTATTCAACTGACCTGTTGAGATGCCTCATCTCAGTGAAAATAGCACTCCGCGTTGGCTCACTTGCGGCAGCTTCTTAGAGAACATCAACTTTTTATCTTAACCCGCCTTTGTCCAAAGGTGTAATGTGACTGCCTTGTTCCATTTCTCCTGGGACATGAGTTTTCCAATAGGCCCCACCTATGTCTCATTTCTAGTAACCAATAGAGAAGGCCTGGGCAAAATCCAGCCCGCCAAGCCCAGACTGGCTCTGCAGCCCTGCACGCCTGGCAGAAATGCAGCTGCAGGGCTGCATTTCTGTTTTAAAACTGGAGGGGAGGGGGGAAGGGAGTTTTAGGAGTCACCCTGCCCCCAGCACATTCTCATTGGCCAGTTTCTGGCAGAAACCAGCCAATGGGAGCTGCTAGTTGAACTAACAGGCAGCTAAAAAGAATCACGCCCTCTCTCCTGAACTCTGTTATTCATGATGCACATGGCCCAGCAAGTTGGCTGGCTGGAATGTTTTAAGCTCTGCAGGTAGACAGGATAGTTTGGCAGCTGGCAAGTAAGTCTCTTGGCCATAGCCTGCTTCTGGCACCCCGGCCCTTTCCTGTCCCAACCCTCTGTCCCCCTCTTGCACCCATACCCCCTTTCATGTCTGGCACCCCAATCTCCTACCCAAGGTCACATCCCAAACCCCTGCACTCCTCCATTCACCTGTCCTAGGTGACAACTGCCTGCCTCATCCCAACTCCCTCCCAAACCCCACTCTCTCTCCTGCACCCCAGTTCCTTACCCCAAGCTCCCTTCTGAACCCAAACTCCATCCCAGACCCCGCATCTCCATTAATATCATGGAAGAGTGCAGCCCTCAACCGCTTTCCAAAATCTTGGTGTGGCCCCCTATCAAATATTATTGCCCACCCCTGCAATAGTCTGAAATACTGCTGCCAGTGACAGCACAATGCAATGGACTGTGCCTTCCTTTCTGCAGGAGATGGTGCCATGTTAGCGCAGTGCCCTGCCAGCCCAGCACCATGGTTCTTTGGATTCAGATTTACCCCCTGCACTGCAATGCAGTGTGCTTCCCAACCACACACTGGGCCAGCTGGCAAAACCAAGCTCATAAGCTTTAGCAAGAAGCGCTCTATGAGCTGGGTCCCATTAGAGACTAGCTCAGGTGCTTCAGTGTCCCAAGAACCCCATGCGGTAAAGGCTTTCTCCTCCACAGAGCACGTACACACCAGGGAGATGTGATAGAGAGCAGTGCTGACTTTAGAGGGTTGTATTTCCTGCTCCTTGTTCTGTGGTGACTACCTAGAAGAGGATGTGATGTAGAAAACACAGTCCATATTGGTGAGCAGTAGAATTCTTGCTGGACTTCGTAGCATTCGATACAGGAGATGTGATGGGGGAAGTCCTTTCATGCTAGCCTTTATGGAGCTTCCTTAGGAGATGTAAGAAGGTGGCTGGCTGGCTTTTAGGGGACATGACAGCCCTGCTGAGGAGCTGCAGAGGTGAAGGGGACTGTCCACTGGGGCAGGGGACTGAGAGTGGATGACAGCTCCTCCCTACCAGGAGAAGTGAGGTCTGTTCTGAGACAGGCTGGGTCTGGTTTCTCCACAGGACTCTATGTGCTGGTGGGAGCAGGGGCACTGATGATGACAGTTGGATTTTTTGGGTGCTGTGGAGCAGCGCAGGAATCTCAGTGCCTTCTTGGAGTGGTAAGTAACAGACTTGATGGAGCATCCCTTTTTGAAGGTTATTCTAGTAGAACTCTCCTTCAAGGGTTCACCACTGTTTCACTGGAACAGCTCTTGGGTCACAGACAGTAACTTCATTTTACTTCTCATAACGAGCAGCCTCTTTATTAACCCAGAATCTCCAGCAGGTTCCATGTGTGAAATTATCCTTTTGTGAGCTTGACTCTTGCTGCTGCCTCCTCTGCTGCTTTCTCCATCTGGAGCAACCTCCTTGTGTCTATTTCCACCTCATCTGACTTTGATCTAATTGACTATCTACTCGGAAAACACCTCTCCTTCTCCTTTGCCTCCTAACCCCTTTTCCCCTCAGCTATCCTATGTTTTTGGGCCTTGTGGAGGGATTTGGGAAGCAGTGTTTGTATAAAGGGGCTTATGTAAAATAAACTAGTACAGACTTGGTTTCTCCTCTGCAGTTTTTTGCCTGCTTGCTGGTGATATTTGCTGCTGAAGTCACCGCTGGAGTGTTTGCATTTATTGGCAAAAAAGTGGTAAGTAGCAAGGTGATTCTGATGTTATGGGCTGGTTTGGGATCCCTGCTGCTGACAAAGCTGGAGAGGGCAAGTAAAGGCCACATTTGAAGGAAGGATTCCATAGAAAAAAGAGAATTTTGTGACCCTCTAGACTTGGAGAGCTCATGGTGCTGTGAACCTGAGAAGCACAGCTTCAAAATGGGACAGTCTCCACTCCCACATGTGAACAGAAAATCCAAAGGGGTAAATGATCCCTGCACATGAGAGTAACATCAAGTTCAGAACTTCTTGGAGAGCTGCAGAGGAATGGGTGACATGCTGGGGAGTTGTACCTAATCAAAGCAATGAATGTCTCTTGTTAGTGACCTTCTCCTGGCTTCTGAGTTCCTGGCAGAAATATAGTAAACACCCACTGGACATTCTGCACAAGTTCCCATTAGTCCCCGAGAGCCTGCTTCTCCCAGGGTATGTCTACACTACAAAGTTAGTTCGAACTAACGGACGTTAGTTCGAACTAACTTTGATAGGCGCTACACTAGCGCTCCGTTAGTTCGAATTTAATTCGCTTAGTTCGAACTAGGTAAACCTCATTCCACAAGGATTAAGCCTAGTTCGAACTTACTAGTTCGAATTAAGGGCTGTGTAGCCCCTTAATTCGAACTAGTGGGAGGCTAGCCCTCCCCAGGTTTCCCTGGTGGCCACTCTGGCCAACACCAGGGAAACTTGTCTGCCCCCCTCCCGGCCCCGGACCCTTTAAAGGGGCACGGGCTGGCTACAGTGCCCGTGCCAGGTGCAAGCCTGCCAGCACCCAGCCAGCAGACCCCGCACCTGGCACGGATCGAGCCGACC